TTACAGAACAAAATAGTTTCTCATTTAACAGTAGGTACACATGTTGCCCTATGACAATGGTTAACAACCTCATAACACATCAACACTATCCTTACTCAACCTTGGGTTCCCTATCACCAGCTTCCTTGTCCCCTTCTCTCTTCTGGCCCTTGTCCCTGGACTGCTGTATATCATTAGTCCCATTTGGTTTTAAGGGGCTGTCCCCTCCCAGGCTGAATGGTGAACTCGGAGATGAGTTCACCACTGAGCCAAAAGGGTGTCTGGGGGCCATACTCTCGGGGTTTGGTCTCCAGCTTTTATGGATTAAATTGTGTCCCCCTAAAATATGTGTTGTAAATCCTAACCTCTATGCCTGTGGTTAAAGTCCCATTTGGGAATGCGTTGGCTTTTTATGTTAATGAGGAAAGATTAGCATAGGGTGTGTCTGGAGCCAATCTCTTACAAGATATAAAAGGAGCAGATTAAGCAAAGCAGAGAGAGGGGAAATTAGATGCTAAGCCACATAGAGATCTCCAAGGATCCAGCAAATAGAAGCTGAAGAGACAAGGACCTTCCCCCAGAACCAACAGAGAGAGAAAGACTTCCCCTAGAGATAGCACACTGAATTTGGACTTCTAGCCTCCTGCACTCTGAGAAAATAAATTTCTGTTTATTAAAGCCACCCATTTATAGTATTTCTCTTATAGCAGTACTAGATAACTAAGACACCAGCCAACAGCCAGCAAGGAACTGAGAACCCCAGTCCAGTTCCTCCAAAGAACTGGATTCTGCCAACAACCATCTGGATTGGAAATGGATCCTTCCCCTGTCTCGCTTACAGATCGGACCCCACTTCTGGCTGACGTCTTGATTGAAGCTCCATAAGAGATCTTGAAGCAGAGAACTCTTCTAAATTATGCCCAAATTCTTGCCCACGGAAACTATAATAAATGTATGTTGTTTAAGTCCGTAACTTTGTGGCAATATTGTGACAAGGAGCCCTGGTGGCACAACAATTAAGTGCTCACTGCTACTGAAACATCAGGGGTTTGAACTCACCCAGTGCCTCTGTGGGAGAAAGGCCTGGCAATCTGCTTCTGTAAAGATTACAGCCAAGAACACTCTATGGGCAGTTCTAGTCTGTAACACATGGGGTTACTATGAGTCAAAACTGACTCAAAGGCACGTAAAAATAACAAACAACAATATTGTTACACAGCAATGTTGTTGTTGTGTGCTGCTGAGTTGATTCTGACTCATAACAATTCTATGGGACAGAGTAGAACTTCCCCACAGGGTTTCCAAGGCTGTAATCTTTACTTGTATTATAATGAAATGTGCAAAGACCTGAAATTAGAAAACCAAAAGGGAAGAATAGGCTCGGCATTTCTCAAGATGAGAGAACTGAGGAAAAAGTTCAAGCCTTGAGTTGCAATATTGAAGGATTCTACAGGGAAATTACTGAATGATGCAAGAAGCATCAAAAGAAGATGGAAGGAATACACAGAGTCACTGTACCAAAAAGAATTGGTCAACACTCAACCATTTCAGGAGGTAGCATATGATCAAGAACCAATGGTTTTGAAGGAAGAAGTCCAAGCTGCACTAAAAGGAATGATGACAAGCAAGGTTCCAGGAATTGACGGAATATCAATTGAGATGTTTCAATAAATGGATGCACCTCTGGAGGGGTTCACTTGTCTATGTCAAGAAATTTGGAAGAGAGCTTCCTGGTCAACCAGCTGGAAGAGATCCATATTTGTGCCTATTCCAGAGAAATCGATCCAACAGAATGCGGAAATTATCAAACAATGTCATTAATATCACAAACAAGTACAATTTTTGCTGAAGATCATCCAAAAGCGGTTACAGCAGTACTTCGACAGGTAACTGCTAGAAGTTCAAGCTGGATTCAAGACATGGAACAAGGGATATCATTGGTGATAAAATGGATCTTGGATGAAAGCAGAGAATAGCAGAAAGATGTTTACCTGCGTTTTATTGATGATACAAAGGCATTCGAGTGTGTGGATCATAACAAATTATGGATAACATTATGGGAGTTCCAGAACACTTAATTGTCCTTATGAGGACCCTCTACATAGACCAAGAGGCAGTCACTGGAACAGAATAAGGGGATACTGTGTGGTTTAAAGTCAGGAAAAGTGTGCATTGGGCTTGTACAATTTCACCATGTTTATTCAATCTGTATGCTGAGCAAATATTCTGGGAAGCAAATAATATGATGAAGAACGTCATCACGATTGAAGAAATCCAAATTAACAACCTGCGATATGCAGATGACACTACCTTACTTGCTGAAAGTGAAGAGGACTTGAAGCACTTACTGATGAAGATCCAAGACCAAGGCCTTCATTATGGATTACACCTCAACATAAATAAAACAAAAATCCTCACAACTGGACCAATAAGCAACATCATGACAAAGGGAGAAAAAATTGAAGTTGTCAAGGATTTGATTTTACTTGAATCCACAAGCAACACCCATGGAAGAAGCGGTCAAAAAATCAAAAGATGCACTGCATTGGGCAAATGTGCTGCAAAAGACCTCTTTAAAGTGTTAAAAAAACAAAAGATGTCCCTTTGAGGACCCAAGCCATGTTATTTTCAATCGCCTCATATGCATGCAAAAGCTGGAGAATGACTAAGGAAGACCAAAGAAGAATTGATGCCTTTGAATTATGGTGTTGGCAAGGAGTACTGAATATACCATGGACTTCCAGAAGAACCAATACATCTGTCTTGGAAGAAGTACAGCCAGAATGCTCCTTAGAAGCAAAGATGGCGAGACTACATCTCACATACTTTGGATATGTTATCAGTCCCTGGAGAAGGACATCGTGCTTGATAAAGTAGAGGGTCAATGAAGAAGAGGAAGATCTCAACGAGATGGACTGACACAGTGGCTGCAACAACGGGGTCAAGCCTAACAACTGTGAGGATGGTGCAGGACTGGGCGATGTTTCGTTCTGTTGTGCGTAAGATGCTATGGGTCGGAACTGACTCAATGGCACAAAGCAACAACAATCTTTATCTAAGCAGACTGCCACATCTTTCTCTTGCGGAGTCGCTGGTGCGTTTGAACTGCCGACCTTTTGGTTAGCAGCCAAACGCTTAACCATTGCACCACCAGGGCTCCTTTCTACTTAAGTACAGACCTCTTATACCACAGCAGCTCTCTTTTACTGAGGGCTTTCTTAGTTACTAGTGGTGCCATAACAAAAATACCACAAGCTGTTGTTGCTGTTTCTCTCTATGGAGGAGTCCTTGGGTGATGCAAATGGTTCAGCACTGGTCTACTAACCGACAGGTTGGTGTTTCAAACCCACTCAGAGATGCCTCAGAAGACAAGCCTGGCAATCTGCTTCGGAAAGGTCACAGTCTTGGAAACCCTATGGAGCACAGTTCTACTCTGTAACACATGGTGTCTCCGTGAGCTGCAATTGATTCAATGGCAACTGGCTTTGAGTTTTTGTTTTTCTTTACAGCGCCTGTTGTCTCACTCTCCTAAATGTTCCCTTGCAGTGCCATGGATCGCTTCTGTGTGGTCTTTCTCGCCATGGCAAGTGATTGGGTAGGACTGTTCAAATAAGGTAATTGTGGCCCACCAAGGGGACTGGTCAGTTTTGTCATTCCACTAGGCTTAAAAAGAAGGTCAATTCCAGAGCAGAGAGAGGATCCCACCACCACCAAGGAAGAAGGGCCAAGAGTAGAATGTGTCCTTTTGACTCGGGATTCCTGGGCTGAGAAGCTCCTGTAACCAGGAGACAGAAAGAGACAGAGAGCTGTAACACTGTAGAAAGCGAGAAGTAGTGGCAGAGAAACAGCGGCAGGAGAGACTGGCAGGAGAGACAGGCAAAAGACAGTGCAGTGGGCTTCCCCACTGAGCTAGCCTACTGAGCTAGAAAGCTGAGTGCCTTTGGGCCTGAGGTTTGCTGGAGGAGTAAGGTGCTTCTGGGCACTTGGTGGAGCTATGTTTGCCAACTCACAGAACTAGAGCTGAACACCTTCTCTCCGAGGCTCATTGGCAGAGTGGGATGCCTTCGGGCACTTACTAGCAGAGCTAAAAGTGCTTTGTTACACTTGTCTGAGCAGGGCAGAGGCTGAGGACCAGAGAGAGGTGTGCCTGTGGGCACAGTGGAGAAGAGGCTGTCCTGATGGAAGAACTATATCCTGAGCCTTCCCGAACCTGAATTGTAACCTATTATTTCCCTAATAAACCCCATAATTGTGAGTATTGTCTGTGAGTTCTGTGTGGCCATTGCAATGAATTATCAAACCCAGCAGAGAAGTAGGGAGTGGCGTGGGAGGGACAGTTGGTGTCAGAATTGGTAAAGGTGGCAGAGTGAGGGGGCATGTCTGATCTCCGTCTCATAGGAATCAGCCCTGGGCTGTTGATCTTGATTCTCCTTCCCCCTTGTAAAGTTAGAGAAGGTCAGATGCTGCCCCCAAGCCATTTTTACACCACTCCCTCCCTGATGCCCCTAAAACTTCTAATCTCTTTGTTATCAGCTCTGACCCAGCTCCAGCTCTCAAATGTTCCTTAAGGCACATCCCAGAAGTGGTACACATCACTTGGGCTCACATCCTGTTGACCAGAAAGCCTTGCCTGTGAAAGAGAAATGCAGCTGTTACTCTGAGTTTCCATGGGGCCAGCTATATTCTTTCATTATGCTACAAAGGGACAGTGGGTATCGGATTCAATGAGCAGTTTCTTACATACTTTGTTCTGCTTCATCTATATGCCTTGCAGTTAGAAGGTCTGCAGTCCGTGTTAGATGACAATTCTGTGAGTTAAGCCTGTGGGAGGTAGCTTGGGAGGATGTTGCAATAACTAGTTACCATTTCCTGATTGTGACTCTGAGAAACTGTGGGTATGTAAGTGTAAAGAATTAAAACCCTGGAGCAAGGCTGTTACTGCATATCCTGGAGTCGGGAGGACATTTTGAGTAACACAAACGGTAAGACTGAAGGAATTTCGGTGGAAGAGGCTGAAGGGGCTGCTATGATCTCCCAATTTCTGTTCCTGCTCTGCTTTGGTAAGTCTTGGGGAATAACAGGGTCATTATAAGTGGTGGTGGGTTGGGCTATGAGGCAGCCAGAGTTGGAGAAGTCTGTAGGGGTAGATAATGGGTAAACAAACGAAAACCAAACCCGTTGCCATTGAGTCTATTCTGACTCATAGTGACCCTATAAAACAGAGTAAAACTGCCCCATAAGGTTTTCTAGACTGTAAATCTTAACAGAAGCAGATTGCCAGGTCTTTCTCCCATGGGGTGGCTGGTGGGTTCGAGCCTCCAGTCTTTCAATTAGCAGTCAAACACTTAACCACTGCACCACCAGGGCTCCTTAGGTAATGTGTAGGATAAACAAAAGAAACTCCAATTTCCTGAATATGTATTACGTGGCAGGAATATGTTAGGTGCTTTACACGTTTTTTTCTATTTATTTGTTTTTCAAAATTCAGCTATTCTTAAAATTCCCAACGGCGTTTTGCCATGTGCATGTGACACCTGTATTTTTTTTAATGTTATTTTTCTTCAAATCAGCTCAAGCTTTTTTTTTTTATATATATATTACACTCCGTTTAAAAAATACGTGTCCTCCACTTATTTGAAATATCTGGAATAGGCAAATGTATAGAGAACAAAGTTTATTAGTGATTACCAGGGGCAGTGGGAGGGGGGAAGGGGAACTCATTGTTTAGGGGACACTGATGTGTCCCTTAAGGGAGCTTAGGTGCTTTTGTTAAGGGTGATGGAAAATTTGGAAATGGATAATGGTGATGGTTGAACAACATGATGAACATAATGTCACTGAATTGTACGTGTAAAAAATGTTGAAACGGCAAATGTTTCGTTACATACGTACATATTTATCACAATTTTAAAAAATGAGAAAATAGATCTATAAAACACCTCTATAAATGGAAAACCGATATCACTCGTGAAAAATAGAGGATTATTAGAGCGTGTTGTTGTTGTCAGGGGCCCTGGTGACGCCGTGGTTAAGCATTTGGCTGCTAACCAAAAGTTCAGCAGTTGGAATCCACCAGCTCCTCCTTAGAAACCCTATGGGGCAGTTCTACACTGTCCTAAAGAGTTGCTATGGGTCGTAACTGACTCAACGACAATGGATTTGGGATTTTTTTCTTTTTTCTTTTGGTTGTTGTTAGGTGCCGTCTAGTTGATTTCAACTTATAGCAACCCATAGTCAGCGGGAAATTAAGGCAATCCTATTAAGTTCTTGGAGGCCTGGTGGCACGGTGGTTATGAGCTACAGTGTGCTACGGCTGCTGACCAAAATGGTCGGCAGTTGGAATCCACCAGCTGCTCCTTGGAAACAGTATGGGGCAGTTCTACTCTGTCCTATATGGTCGCTATGAGTTGGAATCGACGCAACAGGTTTCTGGTTTTGTTTTGTTTTTTTAATTAAGTTCTTATTAGGTGCTGCAATCTGCTTGTAGGAGTCCCTGGGTTGCGCAATTGGTTAAGTGCTCAGCTGTTAACCAGAAGGTTGGCAGTATGAACCCACCCAGAGACATCTCGGAAGAAAGACCTGGTGATCTGCTTCCAAAAGGTCACAGCCTTGAAAATCCCATGGAGCACAGTTCTACTCTGACACACATGGGGTCGTCATGAGTCAGAATTGAAATGACCACAACTGCTTTTGGTTTTCTGGCTTTGCCTGCTTGTAGATTCTGAGCCACACTTATCCCCAGTTTCTAAGGGATATGAGCAGGGACAGATTACCCAATAAGCAAGGTATGCACAGGCTTGCTTGTACTTACTCTCCAATCCATGGTGCACAAATTTCACCTGGTTTTCACATCGTTGACGTGGTGAAACCCATGTGAAGTTGTTAACTACAGATTAGTAAGTAAACACAATTAAGCCTGTGGGTAGCTTACTTACTGGTTAATTCGCCTCTGAATGGGAGTGAATGTTAGAGATGGTTTGAAGACTAGCACCCAGCTGAGGTATTCTATGTGATCAGGATTGAGAGAGAATTAAGAAGTGAATAACTTCCATAACTTTCTCCTACAGATTAGATTCAATGTTGTTTAATCCTGTGTCATTGTACAACCTAAAATCATTTTACATTCCTTAGAAAAGTTCTGCAGAATAGTACTTATCCCCATACATTGCACACAAGGAATCTGAGATTGGCAGTTGAAGTCACTTGCTAAGACCGCTCAGCTAGTAAGTGGAGAAGCCAAATTCAAATTCTGCTCTGTCTAGCCCCAAAGACCACAATCTTCCACTGGGTCATACTAGAAGGTTATTGTTGTTGTTTCTTGCCATTGAGTGAGTTCCAACTCATGATGACCTTTTGTATAACAGAACAAAATGTTGCCCAGCCCCGCGCCATCTTCATGATCATAGGTATGTATAGGAAATTAAAAAGGTCATCATTTGGGAGCTTTGGGTTGGAAATGATTGAAGAGTGAGTGATAGGACCAACATCTGGGAAAACCTTGAGAATGTAAATGAACAGTAAATCTAATGATTTAAGTAGGTGCTGAGAAAATTTTTGAGTAAACAGCCAGATAATCAGATAGGATTTGTTGGAGAGACAGTCTAGATTGCAGCTATTCAAGTCTGCCATTGTAGCACAAAGGCTGTTGTAGACAACACATAACTGAATGGGAATGACTGTTGTCTTAGTCTGGGTTCTCTAGAGGAGAAAAACCAGTGAAATGTACACAGATATATATATAGAGAGAAATTTACTTCATGGAAATGGCTCATGCAATTGTGGGGGCTGGCAAGTCCCAAATGCGTGGGTCAGACGACAAGTTGAGGACTTCCACTGGCTCGTGTGGTTCCTGGGGCTGAGGAATCCAAAATCTGCAGGTCAGGCAACAAGCTAAAGGCAGGGCCCTGCTGGCTTATGTCCCAGGAACTGGGTCAGACTCTGAGAGGATTGCAGGATTGGAAAGAGAGCAGCTTTACAAAACATTTGTTCATATCATGGATGCAGGCCACACACCCAAAGAACGTCCTCTTCCAACTGATTGGCTGCTACATCAGATCACAAAATTGAAGGAGGTACATAATATCTGCCAAACCACTGAGAACCATAGCTAGGCCAAGATGACACATAACATTAACCATCACAACTGTATTTCAGTAAAACTTTATTTACCAAAACAGGTGGAGGGCCAGATTTGTCCCAAGGGCTGTAATTTGAGGACCCCTGATCTTAGGTATAATAAGGTTGTGGTTTGATGGGGGTTTCTGTTTCATGTACAAATAAAGCCTAAAGATTCCAGAAAATACAGACGTAGTGGCTCTTACTTGGCATTGCCAGTCATGAAAACTTCTGCCTTCAGGTCTTCTGCTCCCAAGCTCATAGAGTACTATAGGATAGTTGGCCCTTTACTTCACCAAACATGAGGTCCTTCTCTGGTGAGTAATCCCCCCTGATGACATTCCCAAAACAAGAGAGTCAGACAATGCTCTGTTGTGATCCATAAGGTTTTCATGGGCTGATTTTCATAGGTAAATCACCAGGCCTTTCTTCCTAGTCTGTTTTAGTCTGAAGGCTCCACTGAAACCTGTTCATCATGGGTGGCCTTGTTGGTATTCCAAACACCAGTGGCATAGTTTCCAGTATCATAGTAACGTGCAAACCACCACACTGTGCCAAACTGACAGACGGGTGGTGGCATATAATAAATGCTATATAATTGTTGTTACTTGCCGAAGAGATTCTGACTCATGGCAACCCCATGTGTGTCAGAGTAGAATTGCACTCCATAGGGTTTTCAAGGCTGTGACCTTTCTGAAAGAGATTGCCAGGCCTGTTTTCGGAGGCACCTCTGGGTGCGTTTGAACCACCAACTTTTTGGTTAGTAGTCCAGCGCTTAACTGTTTGTGCCACCCAGGAACTCCCCATATAATCGTTAGATATTATTATTATTAAGGAGACATAGTGGTGCAGTGGTTAAAGCACTTGGCTGCTAATGGAAAGATCAGCCATTCGAACCCACCTAGCGACTCCAAGGAAAAAAGATGTGACAGTCTGCTTCCGTAAAGATTACAGTCTTGGAAACTCTATGGGGCAGTTCTACTCTATCCTATAGGATCACTATGAGTCAGAATTGACTTGACAGAAACAGGTGTGGTTTTGGTTATTATTATTATTATCACCATCATCATAATCATCTTGATGAAGCCCTTGAAATTTCTCCTGGAGGCCACCCCTCACGCCCTCAATGTCCCATCAGCCTTTCCATCACATTCTGCCCCAGAGTCTGTGGAACAACAGTTCTCTGCAGACTCATATTCTGTAACTTTGCAAATGAGATTCAGACATGAGATAAGATGAGATGTGAACTGGCAGGTCTGAAAAGTGGGGGATGTCCACCACTGCTCACTGAGGACTCACTCAGCGGCCCCATCTGGTTTATTTTCTTCCTTTCTGGCTGCCCACAACTCCTGCAGAACAGTGGTTCTCAACCTCCAAAGGGGCATTTGGCAAGATCTGGAGTTCCTGGTGGTGCAAACAGTTAACGTGTTCACTGCTAACTGAAAGGTGGGAGATTTGAGTCCACCCAGAGGTGCCTTGGAAGAAAACCTTGCAGATCAACTTCTGAAAAATCAGCCACTGAAAACCTTATGGAGCTCAGTTCTGCTCTAACCCATTTGGGGCCACCATGAGTTGGAATCGACTCAACAGCACCTGATTTTTTTTTTTTAAGACATTTTTCGTTGTCACAACTGGCTGGAGGGATTGCTACTGGCATCTGGTATGTAGAGGTCAAGGATGCTGCTAAAAATTCTACAACGCACCAAACCAAAACCAAACCTGTTGTCGACTAGTCGATTCCGACTCATAGAGACCCTGCAGGACAAGGTAGAACTGTCCCGTAGGGTTTGCAAGGCTGTAAATCTTTACAAAAGCAGATTGCCACATCTTTCTCCCGAAGAGTGGCTGGTGGGTTGGAACCAACAACCTTTCCATTAGCAGTCTAGTGCTTAACCACTGAACCGCCAGGGCTCCACCTACCATGCACAGGAAAGAAATATGCAGCCCATGACATCAATAGTGCTGAGGTTGAGAAACCCTGGGATCCATTGGATTCTGCTTATCTCTCGGGTCTTTCTCTTGCTCTGAGGCCCAGCAATGTAGTCATGCTTGTCTACCCAGTGGGATCCATGAGAAGCTGGTGGCTCAGTTGGGGTTTCTAGTCTCACTGTGCTAAGCTTGCTTGGAGAAGGCCTGACCAGCTGTGTTCCTGAGCCTATTCCTAATAGCCACTCTCTGAAGTCCTGACTCCTTTGAGGTATTGCCTCTGAACAGCACTCCTTGATTTCTTGGTGATCTCCACGTGGCATCAGTCTTCCTCTGCGTGCGCTTGTGTCTGTGTCTATGCCTCTCTTTATAGCATTCATAGCATGAGTAGACAGATGCACACCCATGTTCATTGTAGCATTATTCACAATAGAAAAAGATGGAAACAACCTAAGTGCCCATCAACAGATAAATGGATAAACAAACTATGGTACATACACACAATCAAACACTATACAATGATAAATAACAATGATGAATGTGTGACATCACAACATGGATGAATGTGGAGGGCATTATGCTGAGTGACGTAAGTAAATCACAAAAGGATAAATACAAAAGAGGCCACTATTATAAAAACCCATGAAAAGGTTTACACACAGAAAGAAACAATCTTTGATGGTTACAAAGGAGGGGAGGGGTGGGGATGGAAAAACACTAAAAAGAAAATAGATAAGTGGTAACTTTGGTGAAGGGTAAGACAGTACACAATACTGGGGAAATCAGCACAACTTGACCAAGGCAAAGTCAGAGAAGCTTCATAGACACATCCAAACTCCCATAGGGATCAAGTTACTGGACTGAGGGCTGGGGACCATGGTCTTGGGGGACATCTAGCTCAACTGGCATAACATAGTTTATAAGGAAAATGTTCTACATCCTACTTTGGTGAGTAGCGTCTGGGGTTTTAAAAGCTTGTAAGCAGCCATTTAAGATACGTCTATAGAGTTGCTATGAGTCGGAATTGACTCGATGGCAATGGGTTTGGTTTTTGGTTTTCTACTGTTCCCACCCTGTCTGGAGCAAGGGAGAATGAAGAAAACCATAGATACAAGGGAAGGATTAGTCCAAAGGATTAGTGGACAACAATTGTCACAGCATCCATGAGACTGAGTCCAGCACAACTAGATGGTGCCCAGCTACCACTACTGACTGCTCTGACAGGGATCACAATAAAGGGTCCTGGACAGAGCTGGAGAAAAATGTAGCACAAAATTTTAACTCACAAAAAAGACCAGACTTACTGGCCTGATAGAGACTGGAGAAACCCGGAGAGTTTGCCCCCTGGACACCCTTTTAACTTGGTACTGAAGTCACTCCTGAGATTCACCCTTCAGCCAAAGATTAGACAGGTCCATAAAACAAACAATAATACATGCAGCTCAACCATGAATAGGAGACTAAATGGACACACCAGCCCAGGGCAAGGACGAGAAAGCAGGAGGGGACAGGAAAACTGGACAAATAGAAATGGGGAAGCCAAGGTCGAGAAGAGGAGAGTGTTGACATGTCACAAGGTTGGGGCAAACAATGTCACAAAATAGTATGTGTATCAATTGTTTAATGAGAAACTAATTTGCTCTGTAAACCTTCACCTAAAGCACAATTAAAAAAAAAAAAAAAAGAAGTCATTAAGTTTAGGACACACCATACAGTAATATGGTCTCATTAACATAACAAAGAAAACCCTATTCCCAAATGGGATCACATCCACAGGTATAGAGGTCAGGATTCCAATACATATTTTAGGGATACACAACTCAATCCATAATACCATCCAAATGTGCATGCCTGTGTGTCTAACTATCATTTATGCCTCTCTTCTCTCCACTAACTCATGGCAACCCCATGTGTGCAGAGTAGAACTGTGCTCCATAGTGTTTTCAAGGCTGTGGCTTTTCAGAAGCAGATTGCCAGGCCTGTCTTCCGAGGCACATCTGGGTGGGTTTGAACCCCCAATCTTTTAGGTAGTAGTCTAGTGCTTAACCATATGCGCCACCCAGTTTTCCATGAGTCAGGAACAACTTGATGGCAACTAACATAAACAACAAGGAGTCCTGATGGCTTAATGGGTAAGCACTCTGCTGCTAACAAAATGGTTGGCAGTTCAAACCCACCCAGTGGCTCTGTCGGTGAAAAGACCCGGCAATCTGCTCCCATAAAGATTACAGCCTAGGAAACTCTATGGGGCTTTTCTACTCTATCATATGGGGTCTCTATGAGTTGGAACTGACCCAACAGCACCTAACAACAACGACAGCATTCTCAGAAAGAGACTCTGGGGTGGTCCCTCAGGGATCAGGGCAGGGAGATGATGTGGGCTGCAGGCAGGTGGTGGATCACTCATGGAGGGTTCTTTTACAGGTCTGTGTCTTAGCCAAAGGGACATGACAGGAGATGGTGAGTGTTTCTTCACTCTAAATTCCCCACTTTTCCTTCCTCTTCCTTATGTGGGCTTCTGAGAGCAAGATGAGGAGTCAAATCCAGCCCTGGGCTCTGTTTCCCTTCCAGGGCCACTTCCCAAGCCCAGCCTCAGTGCCTGGCCCAGCTCGGTGGTCCCTCTCAAGAGCAATGTGATTCTGAGGTGCTGGTCTCCAACCAGGAATGTAAACTTTGCTCTCAAAAAGGGAAGAATTACTATGTGGTCCTTAGAGCCATGTAATCTTACAGAGAACCTGGCTGAATTCCTTCTCACTGATCTACACCAAGGTAACGCTGGGGAGTACACCTGTGAATACTACACCATTCTGTCCCCCTACACAACTTCACAGCCCAGTGATGTCCTTCTACTTCTGGTTACAGGTGAGAAGGAGGTGCTCTGGAATGACATATGGTTTTCCTTGGGACAGGGGATGAGGGAGGAATGAGAGGGAGAGAGGGAGACCAGGGGTTGCGTCCCCAGTGTAGCGAAGTGTGGGTGATGGCGAAGAGAGACAGGAACAGAATTTGAATGTTGGTTTTATCCAGGCTTGTTGGGAGGGGATACTCTGTCCTGGAATCAGTGCAGGGTGAGATCAGTTATCTTTAATTTAGCCCCACTGCATGAAAACCAGGGTGATGGGCAACCCAAGGTTTCTCTCATTACCTCTGAGCTTCCTTCTTTTATAGGAGGTTTCCCTAAACCTTCCCTCCAAGCCTACCCAAGTCGTAATGTGACTGCAGGAAAAAAAGTGCCTCTGCGGTGCCAGAAGCCATACAATGTTGTGGACTATGTAAGGTTTTCTCTACTGAAGGAAGGAATGTCAGAGCCCATACGGGACTGGAGGCCATTAGGGAACATGGCAGGGTTCTCCCTCCAGAATGTGACAGTCAAGGACACTGGGAACTACAGCTGTGTCTACTACCAGAAAAGCAGTCCTTTCTGGGCCTCACACCCCAGTGATAGCCTTGAGATCTGGGTGACAGGTAAGGTTTTCTTGATTTTCAGGAAGTTTTTTCTTTAATTAGAGAGCTTTTGTTCTTTTATTTGATTCTTGTTTCTCCATCACTTGCACTACCATCTCCTTTAAAATTTTTTCTTTCATACTTCTACTTCTTTGACTTTTTGTTCTGCAGTCTTGGATAATTTCCCATGTTGTTCTTCAAAATTACGAATCCTGTCCTCAGGCAGAATTCCTTCCACTCTTTTCTGTATCTATTAAAATATTGGTTTACCTTGGTGTTAGTGATTTTTATTCCCAACACTTTCTTGTTCTCAGAACATAGTGATTCCACAGCCTCCTGGATTTGTGTCATGGATGCTGTATTTTCTTATATCTCGCAACACATACTGTTAAGATTTTTCCAAAATTATCTTCTGTTTCCTGTGAGAATTCTACTTCATTGAATGCTACACTGGAGATATAAATTCCTGTTGTTGCTGTGGATTCTTCCCATATTGTCAGTGAAGGTTTTGTAATTAGAAATAAAGGTTTTTGTGGTCAGTATTGAGAGGTGGAGAGGGCTTACTGAGTGTGGTGGGTCATTATCTATGTCTGCCTGTGGATCTTCCTGGCGGAGAACTTTTTTACTGGGTTCAGAGATGAACTTTGTGTTAATTGGGATTTATGAGGTGGGATGATACAAATGCAGGCCACTCTTTAGGAACCAGGTCCAACACCAAGCTCAAGCCCTTCTTTAGTGGAACTGAGATACACAGTGGCCCAGTGCTTAGACTCTAAGTCCTAACTTTCTTAAGCTCACTGCCTGCACGTCGTTAAGTTTTCTGCTGTGAGGTGAGATGCTGGGCCCGCCAAGTGAATCTCAGTGCTCTGTTGGAGCTTCTTAAGCCTTTTTGTGTTGCTTCTAAGACTGATTCCTAATATATGGATGGAGAAGATAAAAAGGAAATATACCCCCAAAAATCAAACCTGTTGTTGTCAAGTTGATTCTGACTCACAGCGACCATATAGGACAGAGTAGAACTGCCCCATAGGGTTGCCAAGGCTGTAATCTTTATGGAAGCAGACTGCCACATCTTTCTCTTGTGGAGCGGCTGGTGGGTTTGAACCGTCGACCTTCAGCTAGCAGCAGAGCACTTAACCACTGTGTAACCAGGGCTCCTTACGGCTGACTACTGATCAGGAAATAAAAGTGGGTGTATGAGAGTCATAGTTCGTGGGGTCATTTGAGAAGAGGGGATACTCCTCTATAGGTACTGAGACCCTCCTCTCTTCACTTTCCCCAGCTACCACATTGGGAGATAACCCCTCAGTTTCCCCAAGTACCACATCAGGAGATTACACCAAGGGTAATGTCATCCGTCTGGGTCTGGCTGCCCTAGTTCTGATTATCATAGGGGCTTTCCTAATTGAAGCCTGGTATAGCCAGAAGGAGTCTCCACGTGGATCCAGGTAAACAACTGAGCATTTCTCTTTTTTATGCGTTGTGTAGTGATATAGGGTACCTAAAACACCGAAGTCTACCCATGGAGATTTCTTATGTTTCTCAATATGGACACAAATGGCATTTTAAGTGGGATGTTTCTTCATTGTGTGGGACTGTCCTGCTCATTTCAGGAACACTTAGCATCTCTTTCCACTTCTCAGTCAATATCAGTTGAAGCCCCAACCATGGTGGAACAGGAAAAAAAATTTTCATACCTTTCAAACATCCCTGGATTGGGAGGAATGGGAGTTGGGGTGGTGTTCTTTCTGTGAGAACCTGTGTTTGGAGACCAGGAGAAATATTATTCTTCCTCTTCCTCCCTCCATTGACTTCAGATGTGTCCTTCTCTACTCACAGATCTCACAGCTTCCCAGGGAAACAATGAGTGCTTGCTGGAGTTAGACCTGTTGATCCTTACCGTTTCCTGTAGAATCTTCACTCTCAGCTCTATGGAGAACTCCTCCAGGACAAGATGATGGCTTCTCTCTTCCTATACTCCTTCCCACCCAGGACTGAGGACAGCACCGGGCATAAAGACTCATGTAATAAATTTTTGATGATTTGGATGAATACTCGAAATTTCGAAGTCAAGCTGGGTAGCAGTTTCAGTGGCACCTGGGGGGAACACTTCCTCCATTGAAAGTGGGGGAAACATTGATTCCTGGTATAATATTTATTATTGCTTCCCCTCCATTCTCTCTATTTTGTGCTTGTGGACCTCCAATTAGGCAAATATTGGAATTTATATATTTATCATACATGTGTTTTAAATTTTCTTCCATATTTTCCAACTTTTTACCTAATTTTGGGAGAATCCCACTGTATTCCATGGCATTAATTTGTTCCTCATTTGCAACCAGTATTCTGGTTTCAGGTGTAAAATATCAATTATATTTTCATTTTCAAGATCTGTTGTTGTTTCTTGTTAATACTATTGTTTTTTTTTCATAAATATTCATTCTTATTTTAAAGCTATTGTTATCGTCAGCTGCCATCGAGTTGGCCCCCGACTCATGGTGACTCCATGCACAACGTAATGAAATGCTGCCTGGTCCTTTGTCATCCCCATGATTGGCTGTGGATTAGACTGTTGTGATCCATAGGGTTTTCACTGGCTGATTTTTGGAAGTAGATCACCAGGCATTTCTTCCTTAAAGCTGTTATCTCCTCTATTATAACTCTCTAGATATACTTATCAAAATCACATTTGATTGTAATACAAATGATTCCCTTAGAAGTAAATTCTTCTTTTTGTCCCCTTCCCTTCATTCTGTTGGCTTTCATCAAATGATTAGTGAGTCTTGTTTCTTCACTTATCATGATAGTTGAGATTCCCTTTTTGTGGCTGCTGCAGTTGTGGGTAAGACAAGGTAAGGGCAGCAGCTGATGTTTGTTGTCCTCTGCACTGTTTTCCGGGCACTGGAGGAAAACTGGGGCTTGCCTTGGTCTGCATATCACGTGGCTGGCTTTCTCAATGTGAATGCCCCTGGTATCCTCAAGCACCATGAAAATTTTTCCGTGCCTCCCATTCAAGTAGTAAAGCTCACTGGTCCTTTCAGGAAGAGATTCTTCGGCTGCTGTCTGGCTCAAGAGTGGCCAAAATGGACAGATCTCTGAATTCAGAGCCCCGGTGGTGCAGTTATCGCTCAGCTGCTGACTGAAAGGTCAGTGGTTGAAACTCACCAACCACTCTGCAGGAGAAAAGTATGGGAGTCTACTTTCATAAAGATTACAGCCTTGGAAACCCCATGGGGCAGTTCTACTCTGTCGTATAGAGTCTCTATGAGTCAGAATCGACTCGGTGTCAATGGGTTTGGTCTAGCTGAGGTATAATAACCAGTTAATTACCCTACAAGGTCCCTAGGTGGCACAAATGATTTGCACTCTACTGCTAACCTAAAGGAAGGTTAGCAGTTCAAACCCACCCAGCAGTACCATGGAAGAAAGGGGCTGGCAATCTGCTTCTGTTAAGATTACAGCCTAGAAAACCCTATGGAGCACAGTTCTACTCTGTAACACATGGGATGGCCATGAATCAGAATAAACTCAGTGGCAAGCAACAACAACGGTTACACTACAGCTACTTCTTGCTGCAGTCTTCCATTCTGGTACACATGGAGCAGAATCAGTGATGTTCCCGCTCCTGGAGTGGGCAGTTGAAATATTTGTTATCTAAAATGAGAGGCAATAAAGGCGTAAGGGCTGGATCACACACCTTCATGAGTGTGTGCTCACACTCAACATGAGGGAGACAAAGAAAGGATCGCCACTGGACAGATTCCTACACTTCTCTGGGGGATCTGGAGAAGAGAGGATGGGGGAGGATGCTGGTGCAACTGTACAGTTCTTCCCCAGATCACCTAAAATTGCTTTTTTCCTGCCAGATGCCACAGTCCCAGGACCAGGGATGCAGCTGTGGGTGCCGGAGGCAGGGGTGATCCCTAAGCAACAGACTGTAACTATACCCCTGAACATGTATGCTAGAATTCTCAAGGGCCTGATGGAATGGATTGTACCTTCCATGCATCTATCAGAATTGGAGTTGACAGTGAATACTGCCGTACTGCCTAATGGGTGAGATAGCCCACAAGTGTTGTACCTATGTAACCCTGCCCAACATGAATGGGAGCGAACTGAGGGGGAAGCACTTGCTAGACTGGTCTTACTACCAGCAATCTGGACTAGCACAGCAGCTGAACCTGATGTCCCTTCCCAAGGTGGAAAAGTTTGGGTAAAAATAAATGACAAATGGAAGGAAGGAGAGATAATAGCTGAAGGTAAAAGAATGAATAAATGGGTTATGCAGCAGGGGAAATTTAACATTATGTTGATACCTTGAGAGAGACTCAGAGAAAGGGATAATTTTCTCTCAGTTAAATTCATCAGAGGCCAGAAAGGGTGAAGACGAGACAAACTGTTGCAGAACCTGACCAGATCAGATGGACACCTGCAGCAGACCTGAATTACTGGTACCTGAGTAACTTTACCCTTAGGACTCTTTTGCCCTACTGAAGGACTAATTGTCAATGACTGTTTTGGACTGGTAAAACGATTGGGAGGGGTAAATTAATCCTTCATGTATGAAAGTGTCAATGGCGAGAAAAGTGAGGGGATGGCCTGCAGTGTAATGAATTCCTTAATATGGCCTTTCTAGCCATGGTCTTTGTGACTCTCACACAAAGACTGAGTGGGACTATGCAAATAAGGTATATGGAACCTGTGATGGTTGGGGTTATGTGTTAACTTGTCTAGGCCATGATTCCCAGTATTGTATGGTTGTTCTCCATTTTATATGTTTCAGATCCTGACCTCTACATGTTAATGAGGCAGGATTGGTGTGGGGTATATCTTGAGTCACAGCCTTGCAGGAGGGCATGACTCAAGTCCTACTCTTATTCAAGTTACACCCTTCCCTGGGGTGTGGCCTGCATCCAAGGTATATATGTGGGTACCCTGGTGGGGCTCTCTCTTTCTGCATCTGGATCACACATCCAGTTTGTGATCATCTAGCTTCTGGTTCTTGGGACCTGAGCCAGAGGCCTGCAGTCTGTCCTGCCAATTCTGGGATTCGCTGGCCTCCGCAGCCCCATGGGCCAGTGGCCTATTGTCTGATCTGATTTCCTTGCTTCTGCAGCCTTGTGAGCCAGCAGCCTGTGGTCTGAACTGCTAGTTTGGGTTCATTAGCCCCTGCAGCCACATGGGTCGGTAGAAGCCTATGCCTGACCCACAGATTTGGGACTTGCCAACTTCTACAGCTGCGTGAGCCATTTCCTTTATAAGGTTCGTGAATTCTATGAGATGTTGCAGTGAATTACTGAACTCAAAAATGGAAGGGAGAATATTAAGGGGTGGAGGAGTAGTTAATATTAGAGATGATAGAGTAGTACAGAAGTTTGGAAAAGTTGGACATTTGGGACATCTTTAACCTCTGCCTCATAGGACCAGCTTTGTGCCGATCTTATAAAATAAATTATTGGTTTAGTCTTTATGCCCAGTGCTGTGTCCACAGCCTTGGGTGGGAAGGAAAACAGGAAGTGAGAAGCCATCATCTTGTCCTGGAGGGGTTCTCCATAGAGCTGAGAGTGAAGATTCTACAGGAAACAGTCAAGGATCAGCAGGTCTAACTCTATCAAGTACCCATCTTCCCCAGAGAAGCTGTGGAAACTGAGTACAGAAGGACACACCTGATCTCAACAGAGGAGGAAGAGGAGGAATAATATTTCTCCTGGACTCCAAACACAGGTTCTCAGCCAGGGAGACCACCCCAACTCTCCCTCCTCCATATCTAGGGATATTTTAGAAGATATGGGAGCATTGGTTTGTTTGTTTTCACAGTGGTTGGAGCTTCGACTGATGTTTAATGGGGAGGGGAAAGAGATACTAAATGTCCTTACAATGAACTGAATGCTCCCACATGGTAAAGAAACATCCCACCTATAATACCAATAGTGCCCCTGTTGAGAAGACAGGAAGTTCCCCTCAGGTAGAGACTGGTGTTTAATGGATCCTGGTGGCACAATGTTTAAGTGCTTGGCTGCTGACTGAAAGGTTGGCAGTTCGAACCCACCAGCTGCTGTGTGGGAGAAAAGACTTGGCTATCTGCTCCTGTAAAGATTACAGCCCGGGAAACCCTATGGAGCAATTTTACTCTGTCATACAGGATCGCTATGAATCGGAATAGGCTTGACAGCACACGACAACATTTCATTACAAAAGCTCATGAAAAAGAGAAGTGGTCAATTGTTTTACTTGGATCCATGTGGAGACTCCTTCTGGCTATGCCAGGCTTCAACCAGGAAAGTCCCCATGATAATCAAAAATATGGTTGCCAGAACCAGGCAGTTGAGATTAAACCTGGTATAATCTTCTGAAGTGTATCTCAGGAAGCTAAAAGACAGAAGAGTTTAGCACTGGGTGGCACAAAATGATTCAGCCCGCTCCACTTTGCTCCAGTGGCGCTTCCCTGTGTGTCCCTAGTTTCAAAGCTATGGGGCTCCCTTCTGTCTCCATCTCAGGTTAGTTTGGATCTGGCACATGACCTGCCTACCTCATTTCTTTGTAGATTCATTCACTCAGTATCTGCCTCCAGCTGTGTTTTCCATGAAGTTGCCTTGCTGGACTCCTCGCCTGGGTAAGTTGTTCGCTGCTGTCCCAAAACAGCCACTCTGTGCTGGGCCAGCTGGCCAGGTATGGACTCTCTGACAATCTCTGCATTTCTGCTGATTTCGTTCTAACTCTCTTTCCATTTGGTGCTCAGTCCAATTCTTCAACCTTCCCTTTGATGTTCAGGGATCCAGGGTTGTTGCTTGTATCTGTTTCACTTGGTTTCTTAAGTCTTTGTTGTAGGAGGATGTTAAGGTGCGTCTGTCTAAGCTGCCATCTTAACTGGACCAGTCAAGAGGTAGGTTTTAAAGGATATTGAAAAAAACTGATAAAGCAGATTTAAAAAATAACCATTTGTGTTATTTCTATTACAGCAGCAGTAAGAAACCAAGACATCCACCTTTGCCCAACTCCAGAGCAAAGATATCTTGTCCATTAGGAGGGACCAAATCCTTGGAGAAGGACAGCATTCTTGGTATAGAGTCAGCAAAAAAGGGGATGACCCTGAATGAGATACACTGATACAGTGGCTGCAACAATGAGCTCAGACATAGCAACAGTTGTGAGGACGGAGCAGGAGCGGGCAACCTTTCATTCCGTTATGCATAAGGTCGCTGTGAGAGAGAGCTGACTTGATGACACCTAACAATAACAATCTCTGATAAAATCAATGTTCTAAGACTCTGCTTCTGCCTTTCTCAAGCCCCTACATGGGAGGTGTGACTATTTAATGCCTGCCCTTCCTCTCATTCTTCCCTCATCCTCGTGTCCAGGATGGATGAGTGGGTCAAGCAAGAGCTTTTCTCTTGCTTAAACACCTCCTCCTCACCTATGACCACAAGAAGAATAACATCACTGGATGGTGAACTTCTGAAGGGGGACTCTTGCCTGTGGTATTGACAGGTGTATTCCCCTGCATCAAGGTGACCCTGGTTAATGAAGGGAAAATTAGCTGTTCTTTCTGAATAATCAACTGACAGCATGGGCTTTAAGGGAAGTTGGATTCCTCCTTTGCTGAGAGTAAAGTTGACATCTGTGATAGTAGTCCAGCACCTGAGAGTCGCATTACTCTTTGCAGGTACCAAAAATGTGGGCCAGACACTGAGGTGGGGCTTGGGAAGTGATCCTGGAAAGGAAGCAGAGAAAAGGGCTGGATTTGACCACTCACCTTACTCCCAGGAAGCCATTTACGGGAGAGGAAGATAGAGTGGGGAATTTAGGGTGAAGGATCAAGGAGAGTTTAATTGAAGAAACATTATTACGGATTGAATTATGTTCCCCCAAAAATGTGTCAACTTGGCTGGTCCATGATTCCCAGTATTGTGTAGTTGTCCACCATTTTGTGATCTGATGTGATTTTCCTATGTGTTGTAAATCTAACCTTTACGATGTTAACGAGGCAAGATTTAGAGATAGTTATGTTAATAAGGCAGGAGTCAATCTACAGGATTAGGTTGTCTCTTGAGTCAATCTCTTTTGAGATATGAAAAGAGAGAATCGAGCAGAGAGGAGAGGGACCTCATACCACCAAGAAAGAAACACCAGGAGTGGAACATGTCCTCTGGACCCAGGGTCCCTGCACTGAAAAGCTCCTATACCAGGGGAAGATTGATGACAAGGACCTTCCCCCAGAACTGACAGAGAGAGAAAGCCTTCCTCTAGAGCTGGTGCCCTGAATTTGGACTTTTAGTCTCCTAAACTGTGAGAGAATAAACTTCTGTTTGTTAAAGCCATCACTTGTGGTATTTCTGTTATAGCAGCACTAGATAACCAAGACAAACACCATCTCCTTTCATGTATCCTTGGCCATCAGACAGTTCTGTAAAAGAATCCGTCATGAGTGATATGTTCCCTGCCTGAAGCCCACATCGTCTCCTTCCCTGGTCCCTGAGGGACCATCCTGGAGTCTCTTCCAGAGGACAGGTTCTTGAATACCACACATTTAGGAGTTCTCGTTTCCCCTCATGCTGTTCTCTGGCTTCAGCTCCACTCTCAGCTCCTCCACCATTTCTCACGGAGGCTCTCCTCCTCCATCTGCTTTCACCTCGTAATGTTCCAGGACCTTTCTTAGTTCCGCAATATTCCACAAATCTTACTATCCTCATCTTCTATCCTGTACCACTCTTAGTCTTACCCTTCTGTTAGAACATATGTTTCCTAGGTCCTCCATCCCACAAGAGGTGGCACTAACCGTGTGGGTGACTGGGTGTGACCCTAGCTCAACTCCGGATATTATCCAAGATCCAAAGTGGTCCTTGGAGCCTCCTGACAGTCTCATTTGTGATTGTAATCAGAGATCACTGCTTGTAGTAATGGCTTCTTGAAGCTTTGGGTGACTAGATTAAGACAGAAACCATTTGGTTATAAAATCCTAAGAGAGTTTATGGAAGTGTATGTATTATAAAGGAGTAGTATGAGGGAGATTTTGTGGTGATGGATTAGGTCTGCATGTTGATTGTCCTGGTGGTTACATGTATTCACACATATGAAAAATGACACAGCACTGTACACACAAATTGTACCAATGACAACTTCTTGGTTTTGATATTGTACTATATTATGCATAATGTGCATAACTAGGGGAAACTGGGTGAAGGGTACATGAGACTTTTCTATTCTGTTTTTTGCAACTTGCTGAAATTAAGTTTTAAATATCTATTATATATTTTTATTATTGTTGAAAATGGACACAGCAAAACATACACCAATTCAGAAATTTCTACCTGTACAATACAGTGACATTGATTACATTCTTCAAACTGTATAACCATTCTCATCCTCCTTTCCTGATTTGTTCTCCCGTATTGACATAAACTCGCTTCCCCCTAAGCTTCATATCTAACATTTTGAGTTACTGTTGACAGTTTGATCCCATGTAGTAAGTTCTTTTAAAGATGTGATTCTATAATTATTATAAAATAAGAAGTTTTTTTTTTAAAAAATGAGAACTGATTAAAGATTCTGTAGAAGAATCCTGATCAAAAGGGAGAAAATACAGAACAGAATTTCAAATTTTCATGAAATACAGACTTTCTGGAGCCACAAAGGCTGGGAGAACCCCTGAAACTATTGCCCTGAGATACTCTTTAAATCTTAAACCTCAAACCACAAATATCCCCTGAAATCTTCTTAAAACCAAACAATCATTTAGATTAACT